CCCTAAATAAAATCTATGTATCCTGCAATCACTTCAGTGATATTGTAATAACTTCAGAAACAGGGGAAGTAGTTGTCTTCCATCTCTTCATCAGGGGTTTGATACAGCTCCAGGTATTTCTACTTGAAAGTTGTTGCTCTAATACCTGTCTGCACAGCAAACACCACATTTCAGAGTAGCGTGGGCCTGAGTAAATGTAGCAATCAGTCATGCATACCATCATTTTCATTGTGAGAAGTTATTTAGGGCTAAAGAGCATTTTCTGGATTTGTTTTTGAATAATGAGTTGTTTTAAATATAATCATCTTAAATTCTCTTCACACCTCTATTATACTGCATGATACCAGAGGGTTATTATAAAACAGAGTAAGAAAAATGAAAAGGCTAAGAATACTTTCAACCTTGTTAAATAGTCCAATTATAAAGAAAAACGATGAATGAATATTTTTAAACAAAGCAGTGATAAGAGAACTAATATTCCAATAAGGTATTGGATAGCAGTCTTTTTAAAGAAGTTATGGCTCATATATAGGCATATAGGTACCACCTTTCTAATGCAAGCAGCTGTCTAAAAAGTAAGCAGCAAAATTTATTAAATAGTCCTCTCTACACTTCCAGCACCAGGTACATTATTTTTGCCCTTCTGTATACATACACCCTTCATCTGATCTTTTTTCTCCTTCAAAATTAGCTGATCATGTAGAACGTTCCTGTGGGCAGAAAATAAACTACATTTTTAGGTGGTCCATGTGCACCTTTTTATTGTGAAATAGGAATCAATCATCTGTTTTACACCTTTTAAATGAATACACAGTTTGGCAACTAGTTAGAGAAAAGCTACATTCTTAAATCTAAAACACGTTGCATTAAGTCCAGCCACATCCTGGCTTTCTGTCTACTCCTGTATAACAGACAAAGCTTTTTCAGAAAGGTATCAAAGGAAAGTTGCCCACAGCCCAGTATCAGAGGTTCCCGCTGAAAAATGAAATAACCGCTAAGAGAAACCAAACAACTTAGAACATAGAAAATGGAGAGTTGCCTTTCCTTTTTCAAAGCAACTTAGAGCACATAAGAAAAAGACTGGTCGTTATCATGGTATTCAGTTCTATCACAATGATTTTTAAGCACTAGAATACGACCAAGAAAGGTGTATGTGACATGATCTCTGAAGGCTGATAGACAAGCCCAAGGGAGAGACAGGCTATTTTTATTCCTATTAAAAAGAAGAAAAAGAAAATAAGTGAAAATCCATGTATATTTCCTTCTGAAAACTGGTTTATGTTCACTTATTTTATTGATTTATCATTTTACGTCTCTTCCTAAATGTAAAATCAGACATGTATGCTTATATCTTTTTAAAATGTTTTCTATCTAGAGCTGTATCTAGTTTTCATCTCTTTATCCAAAAAAAATGTTAATTTTTTGGACTAGCTTTGTTGTTAAACCAAGAAAAACTGACAGATTATCCATTTTAATCCCAGTTAATCCCACTGTTGGTTTTTCCCCCCCTCTCTTCAGGCACTGGAAAAACATTGCAGAGTAGATGGTGGCTATTCTGGCATTAGAGATGTTTATAACAATCACGAAAGCCATGATGACGTGCAGCAAAGTTTCTTCCTTTCAGAGACACTCAAGTAAGTTAAGAAAGCTGAGTTTCGTTAATATGAAGTAGTTGTGTGTATCATGTTTACAGATAAGTATTTATCATTAGTAACCGTGACATTCACGTAACAAAATCTGACTGAAATAGTGGAGTTTTTCTTAGGTGATGGGAAGCCAAATTGCCTTTTTTTCCCCTTCTGTATCAGTAAACTAAATTCTTACTTCTGGAAATCATCCTTACTTCTCAGAAAGGTACTTGATGGTCTTTGTTGAGAATTTAAGTCTCCTAGCTTTGATAGGATCCAACACTAGAAACAAATTGAGTAGACAGAGGACTGATCAGGCTTGTGTTGCATACTTTTCATTTTAAAACTACAGACAATGAATAAGAAGTCAAACTGCATGGTAAGCTTGCATGGCCTGTTAATAGGAAAACCAAAAGCTTTCATTCTAAGTTTTTTATGAAATAAAGGGATTTTTGCCTTGGTCTCTTCAACTTTCTTTTGCTGCACAAGAGAAAGTTGCAAGGACCAGAAAAAGCAATCATGCCATTTCAACAGAAAGTGTAAGACTGAGTAAAGGAAATAGCATAAATACATTTATGTGCATCCTGCCTTTTTTTTTTTTTTTTTTTTGAGATCGTGCACTGCCTCTGCTCTACCTTTTAAACTGGCCTGTCAGAATTAGACCAAGAAAAGCCTTCAGGGAAGGAAAGTGATTGAGAAAAAAATTAAATTTCCTTTGCTAAGCAGACTTTGATTTCTAAGCAGAGTTCAATAATCATCCTATAGTAGCTACTACCTTGAATCAGGACAGTAAATAAAATGTTACATTTTTTATTGTTTACTGCTGTTTTTAATGGACTCTTAGTAAAGGATTGCCCAAGCTCCTGCTCTAGTGCTAGTTTTCCTCTTTAAAAACCTGAAGCCACAGGTTGTTCTCTGAAGTAAGGCAGGATTGGACTACAGTATTTTCATTCCTACACCTTGGTATATGTGCACATTCAGGAGGAAAAAATTACTATGGTTATATATTATCAAAACAACATGTAATAAAATTACCAAGGATGAAATGGAAGTGAAGTGAACTGAAATTTAATCTTGATAGCTTAAGCTTCTTTGTCCTCTGTCAAGATAGAGGTGTTCTTTTGTTGGTCTCCAGCTACGTGTTGGGCTACTGCCCTTGAGTCTAATCTGAGTTGAGTAGCCCCAAAGCTTTGTGCTACCCATTGTGATGCTGCAACTTACTGGTGTTTTGTGTTTGGTCAGCTGTTTCCGTTGATGCATTTATAAAATAGGGAAATCAGTTATTTATGTTTTCCTGAAAATGACTGTAGTTTCACTTCCCTGATTTGGTCACATTTCCTGCTTCTTTTCTTGCTAGGTACTTGTATTTGCTGTTTTCTGAAGATGATCTTCTTCCATTTGAACACTGGGTCTTCAACACAGAGGCTCATCCTCTTCCTGTTCTTCAAAAAGATGACGGGAATAGAGAAGAAAGCCAGAAATAGATGAAGATTAAGTTATACTTTGTTTCATTCCTTATGTTTCTTTCCAGGACTTGGGCACATTATTTGGTTTTAAATTCCTGAGTTAAATTTTTAAATCAAGTGTTTTGCAGTCTGTTTTCTTTACAGTAAATATTTATGGATGGACTCCAACTAATTATTACAAAATTTCATTCTGTTTATCCAGCTGAACCACTTCTTAGAAGAGAAATAGGACATCTCGCCAGATTTTGTTAGGCTGCAGTGTCATCTTGGCCAAAAAGAGCAAAGGGTCTGCATGTTACTTGTTTCCTGTTATGCTTTTAATTTGACTGCAAAATTCTTTTCTCCTCTGTGAGGAGATGTCTGCTTTAAGCTGTAATATTTTGCCATGTTGCAAAAAGCCATATTGAATTAAGTATAAAGAGCTTTTTTCTTTTTTTTTTGTTTTATGTTAATTTGTTTTGTGTGTCGTCCAAGACAAATCTTGTGACTGTGACAGCCTCTTCTTATGCGGGTCTCTCATTACTTGGTAAAGTATCTGAAGTATTTCACTGTCATGAAGTCTACATAGGAATATTTTCATCTCATGCAGACAACTCTGAAACTGCAGTATATGTTGAAGTTAGTCTAAAGTTAGTTTTTATAAATTTAGCACATTAGTTAGCAGACCTTAGTTTTTCAGGTTTTGATTAGAACATTGTAATAGAATAAATTGTTACCTCCCTTTTGTAAGTGGTGTTATTCTCATGTCTTTAGTCAGGCTAATATGGAGTAAAATCAGATAGTCATTTCATATTAAGAAAGGAAGTCTTACCTTCTTTATATATTCAGTCCAGTAGCTTTCATTTGGTTGGATGGGAAAAAGACAAAAAAATACTCATTGACATTCTCCTGGAAGCTGAGAATTATACCAGAGACAATTTGTTTGGTTTTCTGGAACTTTCCCAAAGATTCAGATAGGCTCAGACTTGACACCAGACTTGATATTTTATTGTCACAAAGCAATTTAATGTACCTACATGAATAAAATTAGATGTTCAGATGCCTTGAAGAAAACTTGTCTCCTTAAAAGAAGATCATCATTCAGTAGAGGCAATTATCCAGTGTAGAGATAAAACCTTCAGAAAGCACAGTGTCTGTCTTCTCTAAGTGACAGAAACGCAGTGTGCTTAAAATTATTCCCTACATTAGAGGCCTGGCTTGCTAAGAAAGGTGTCAGTTTTGCCAAAAATGTTTTACTCTGTAACATCACCAAAGGGAAAAAACTGGGCACAATTAATTAATTAAGTGTAATTTGGAGGAGTTTACATGATTATTAAGTCTACCTGTGTTTTCATTTAATGACAGGATGACTTTCATATATTTTGAGTAGGGTGTAACACCTGGCTTCCCATTCTGAGAAAGCACATTATTCACTGATTTGACCGCAGCAACACAAATATGGTTCTGAACAGTAACCATCTTTAAAGGTATTTGGAGCTCACATGTCCAGCATAGCTAATCACAGCCAAGGAAGCACGTCTGTTGGTTTAGGCATTACAAAGTGCATTTTTTCTATACTGATAGAGGTCTGCAATGTAGGTTTTCTTAGGCAGAAGCGAAGAGCAAAGATACATTTTTATATACAGCAGCTGGAGGCTGGCCCATAAACTTTACCCTCTGGAGTCTGTAGACAGGAGTGCCTCTCTGCTTCAGCTGCAGACACAGAAAATGCCATGTGCCACGTGAGCTGCTAAAGACATTCATGTAGGGGGCAAGGCAGGAGGATCTTCCATTGATTCTGATCTTTCCATCACAGGACTGGCAAGGCTGGGTATTTGTACCTGGAAGTTAATGGGGTGCACTGCTGAGCCTGGGCAGCCCAGAGCTGGGAGAGTGGATACAAATGCACGTGTATCTACCTCAGATAAAGCCTGCTTACATCAAACCAGTGCATTGGCTCAAGACTTTTTGCTTTACTGCTTTTTCTCTTTTTATTATTAATTATTTTCTTTTTTAAAGTGTAGGTTCCCTCATGTCAGGGTAACAGTTTTGTGAAACTGAATAAATAGGGATGAAGTCTTGGCTCTCCTCTGCTGAAAAGCAAGAACTCCTGCT